GGTTGGCAACCGCAGTTTTTTATTGTAATTTTGGCTAAAAATATATATATATATATATATCATTCATTGTATTTAGTTGTCTCGCGTTTATCTAAAGTTTCCATGCAACTCTTATAATCAAATGTCGATGAAACTATCTTTAAATCACAGAATTTTTATACGTGGTAGAGCCATACTGCAGCTATATTACTGGTATAGTTGTAGCACGAATGGGTCGGCTCGACCGGGGAAGGACCACGCTCTCACAGAATACCAGCGCGAAATAGCAGCTTAACGCTGCTGTGTTTCGTATGGTGAGTGTAGAGAACCGGAGACCCTTGTTACTGGAATGAGGCCTTCCATCTTAATCCTCACTGGTGACAACGCATCTGAATTTTGATTCGTAATCGAGGATAAATGTAGATGTCTATGGACCACAGCATCCACTTACCATCAGGTGGAATGTGTGCTCGTTTGTCACCCTAATTCTATAAAAAAAAGACAAACGTTTCTGTGTGTCAATATACCGAGGGATCTAAGCTAAATTTATCTGTAAAAATCACGATTTTTTTTTGAGAAATCGATTAGTTGATAATATAAATTAATGGTCTTTGGTAATTATCTCAAGGCTTTAAGAAACCTGAATGACCTTGAAAAACGGAGACCGCAGTCTCAAAGATTATATTTTAACAACACTCGGATATATTCAATTTCAGGTAGAAACAATATTTTCAAGAGTAAAACGCAGAATAAAATAAAACTCTTAATTAAGGATATTTCAGACCCTTTTTAAGTGTAAGAACTCATTAAAGAACTATTGTCGTTTTTGAAAATTATGACAAAATTTCTTTTGGGGATTTTTTTTTTCTAAAAAATCATTGACACAAAAAGTAATAATTAAATAATTGAAAATTATTCAATTTGAAAAAAGTATCGAATTTTTATCTGTTATTTATAATGTTAATATCACAGTATAAATAACAGATAAAAATTCGATACATAAATATCCAAGAGTTTAGAAAGTTTCACACGCTCTTAGCCCCTTAAATCAAAATTTATAAAAAAAAAGAATTTATAATAAATATCTATATACCAGCACGGACGGTATTAAGAAGTCTCGTAGCCAGGCTGGTGCAACTTCCATAGTAAAAATTATATTATATAAAAAACAGGGGCAACTTTTATTGTCAGTTAACTCTTCTTTCTACTTTTCGTAATATGTCTATCAAATCAAATAGGTTCAAATGTAAAATCAAACGGTTACATTTATATTTAGGTTAATTATTTAGATTGCTTTTAATTTTACTATAGCAGACGTTGTTAGTTTACAGAATTGTTAAAAAATCAAATATGCATTATAACTTGCCAATTAAATGGTGTAAGAAGCGAAAAAAAATAATAACAAGAAAAGGCTATACATAACAATATTTCCCTTCGATGATGAAAGGTATGTGGTGATTTCAACTTTAATTTTAATATGATATTTAATACGAATACGTTTTTAGACTTTTAATTGTAGTAATGTCCTCCAAACTGAACTTCCATCACGGACGTTAATATCACTGGAGTCCAGACATCTACGTAGGACAGGTTTTATAGTGTACGGTTATGTACACAAATACAAGCATTCTCTATTTCCTAACTCTGATAGTTCGATTGGATGGCAATCCGAAACGAGCTATACTTAGAAACTATATTATGAATTGTGACTACTTACATTCTATTTGTTCAATATAAATATGATTTTATTTATGTTATTTTTTCAGAAGTAAGCTATAGGTGAAATTAATTAGAAATGAAGACCTGGCAGATGTTCCAATTGAAAAACTTCAGACGTTAAAACATATTTGTGGCAAACATTGTAAATCCGATGATTTAAACCTGGACTCAAAGCTTCCATAATTAATCTCACTCACGGGTACTCAATCCCACGTAAAAACTTTTATTTCTCATAAATCATTCAGGACAGAGATCTAACTTCTATTATATAAAATATCGATAAACAATATATCTATAAACATTATATCGATAAATTTGTTAAAGGATAGCCATTTACAGCACTTTGATGATTTGCCATGTTGTCAGCACTGTTTGTCTAAAATTAAATGTCATGTCTTGATATTGGTAAAGTAGCTTGGCGCCCTTTCATTTATATTCTCTTTGCTCGTAGCTAGCATTTACAGCACAATAAACTAACCATCTTAGTCGAGAATACATGTAGTTCTCTATGAACTATGTGCTCGTTTGACACGTAGATTACTGTAGGTATATAGTTTGATACCTTTAATTGTATGTATGAAAAAAACTGGTCGAATATAACTGAATTTCTGTCCGATTTTAAATATTCAAAATTTTACTTTTAGTTTGCCTTCAACCAAACGTTATTCGACAGCCAGGCAATGTTAAACTTTGATTGTTTAAGTAAGTTTTTAAGTAGCCAATTTTTAACTACGCCGATCGCTTAGAATTATTTTTTATATATATTTAAGGCCCGTCGCAGAAAAACCCAAAAACTCTCCGATCACACGCTTAATCTCATGTCTGTTAAACGAGAAATGAAGCTGCAGTCTTCAGCATATACGACAACATACAGGCAACTGAACAGACAGATCTTCAAATACATGTGTGGCCTACGTACCTTCAATACAGCTCGTATTGAAGTAGCGATCGAGTGGAACCAAGCCTCCAAAGTCGTTCCCAGATATGTGTCGCTGAAGATTGAATGTGGCAGCATCGTTTCCGAGACACCTGAGATTTTAAGTGAGATGGAGAGGTTCTACGAGCAGCTGTACACGTCATCGTTAGAGCCACATGCAAGTGTGAGTAACGATCCAAGAGGAAGTCCTACCCGACACTATTCCGATGATATCCCGGACTTCAGTATGATCGAGATTAGAATAGCTTTCCAGCACCTACGGCAAGAATACTGCAAGGCCCCATGCGAGGACGGGTTTACAGCGGAGCTTCTGAAAGCGGGTGGAAAACCAGTACTTGAAGTCCTTCTGAAGCTATTTAATTCCGTCATCCATCAACTACTCTGGAGGTGTGAAGCAGAAGTGCGGTAGTCTTGTTCTTCAATAAAGGCGACAATGCTCTCTTGAAGAACAACAAACTACTTCAAACGCTTCGGCGAATCGTACAAAGCACCGAAGAGTACAATCGTTCACGCGATAGAGCCACGTTATGTATGGTTGTAGCACGAATGGGTCGGCTCCACCGAGGTAGAACCATGCTTTCATAGAACCAGCGTAAAATAGTAGCTTAATGCTGCTGTGTTTCGCATTTGGATAAAATCAATCAAACGGAGAGCCTTTTTATTGGAAACGATATATTCCAGCTTAGTTCTGAGGGGTCACTTACAAGCATACACTTACCATAAGGTGGATTGTGTGCTCGTTTGTCACCCTAATCATAATTTAAAAAATCTGTCACTTTGCCTTGCTTAAGTGGACTGTGAGAAAGCTTTTGATTTCGTCGAAATTTGGGCGGTGCTACAGTCCCTTCAGCAGTGCCAAGTTGACTGTCGGTATATCGAAGTGCTGAAATGTTTATACAGTAGGGCTACGATGGCTATCCGAGTACAGAACCAAAGTATGAAATCTATCCTGATAATAATAAGAGGTGACGTTTTATCCCCGAAACTCTTCACCGCTGCATTGGATAACGTGATGAATCTACTGAACTGGCAACGATTCGGTATTAACATCAATATGGAGTATGTCACTCACCGTCAATTTGTCGACGATAAAGTCCTTATGGTACACTCGCTGGAGGACCTAAACACAATGCTCAATGACCTCAATAGTGCCTTCCAATGGATAGGTCAAATGGACAAAAGAAAGACGGCTTCGTGGCGCAGTGGCTTAGCAATGAGTTGTTGCGCTGGGGGCCGCGGATTTGAATCCCGCAGGGAACAGGTATTTGTATGGCCTACAAATAATTGTTCCGGGTCTGGATGTTTGTCCTTGTGCAATTTATGTTTGTAAACTGCCTCCACGATACATGAGAAAATCCTAGTGTGGTGGTAAAGTTTTTTTTAAATTATAAATAAAAAATAAAAAATGATATGCCGGTTGTTGTTGGAAGCACTACGCTCGAAGTTGTTGATGAGTATGTTTATCTAGGACAAGTAGTCCTACTAGTGCATGTTGCCAGGGATGGCTTATAGATCTGAAACGTGGTATTTCACTGCTGGCCGAATTAAGAAGGTCACTCAGCGAGCTATGGAGAGGGCTATACTCGGGGTTTTCTGCGTGATAGACTTAAAAATGAGGATATCCGCAATAGAATCAGAGTAATTGACATAACCCAACGAATTAGTAAGCTGAAGTGGCAATTGACTGGCCATATAGCTCGAAGAACCGACAACCAATTGGAAAGAAAGATTCTCGAGTGGCAGCCTCGTACCGGTAGACGAAGAGTAGGGCGCCCCCCTCTAGATGGACATGCAGGAAATTGATGGATACAGGTGGCTGCGGACCGTGTTTTGTGTTTTTTTCTTGAGGAAGGTATATGTTTATCAGTAGACTTGTGAAGGGCTGAAATGATGAAAAATTATAATGATTAATTCTTCTTTTTCTTTTCTTCCTTTTTTAAAAATTATGTCTTGACGAACAATACCTGAGTTCAAACTCTCTGTGAAAGTAGATACCTACTAATTACTATTTGCTACATTTGCTACATTTGTTTCATTCATTCATTGCAGCGTACCAAAAGTCTACCGCTGAACATAGATCGCCTCCATAAATTGCTTCTATGAAGGATACTTGAAATAGTTGCCACACTTGGCAGACGTTTTAACAACCGAAGTTTTTATTATAAAGTGTTATCAGGAAGATGTGACCCATTTCCTGTTTCAGTTTCCCTTTGTCGCCGCTCACGACACCCACAGGATCATATGGGATAGTTGATTCTCTTACGCTGCGAGTTCATAGCAAGTCAGCAAATAAGAGAAACTGAAAACATACTTTTATACGGTAAAAAGGTGTCACAGAAAACTTATGGGTTCACTTTGTCTGCAGGCAACTGCTTGGTGATAGCAGCTGTGCTGTGCTCTTCGAAGCTGCGCAGTGTTACCAACCTATTCATCGTGTCGCTTGCGGTCGCCGACCTGTTGGTTGGGTTGGCAGTACTGCCGTTCTCCGCCACCAGAGAAGTTTTCAAGGTAGGTTTAAATTTAATAAGCCTGTATGTTTATACCTATATGGCCCCATGACCTTCACGTATCGTGCTCGGGGGGTCCGTTACGCAGGTAGAGTTAGAGGCCTCGAAGGGAGGCGCGCCTTTTGTTCCTGGTGCGCCTTACCTGAAAAGGAGAAGAGAGAGGAGTTGTACTCTCTCATCAGAAGCTGCCATGGATTGACGGCGCTGGTAGGGCCGCGTCGTGTGCGAATACCTTTCCATGGCCCTGTAAATATGTGGTGAAGATTGAACACCATAGGGTTACAGTCGGTGCGAGTCTGACATAAACCATATTTTCCCATGTAAAAAAAAGGTTGTCCGTCTGGGCAGATATCACCCTCTTACCTATTTCAAATAAAATAAGTAATAGTTCTTTTTATAAAACTGAAGTAACATACGTCAAAATATTACAGTCAACTTGAGGGTATTATAACAATTTGTGAGGCTTTTTTGTTTGAAGTTGGGTACAAGTATAAAAACCTACCCAGTTGTGTAGATAATTAATTTCGATTGCAATTATAAAACAATCGGTCGATTGCAATAATATACTTAGATATCATATCATATATTAGTATTATATATTAATTTAATTTATTTAGGTATTAGTATGCAAAGAGCAATGGCAGAAAAATAGTTGACAAAAATTATAGCGTCTAGAAATAATTTATATATAAAATGAGTTTTATTATTTTTCTATGATTTTTCAAATAAAAATGTATTTTAATTAAAGCCACAGAAAAAAAAACATTTTTGGGAATATCAAATGACTGAAATAATTTTACTCTATTCAAATGTTGCCATTTAGTATATTCCTACTATTTTCGTATACACTTTGTAACACTACCAACACAACACACAAAATATTTTTATATTAAGTTATTATTAGTAATAACTGTACTATCAGTAATAACAAAAATAAAAGTAATATGGCTGAGAATAAGTCTCTTACAAAGAATTTCCTACATATACATTATCTCAATCATAGTACTATGTAACAATTCCATTTAATGTTATGCCAAAAATAAAATGTCACTGTTTTTTTTATTGGCTTTACGGCTCTGGGTTCTAGCCCTTCTGAGAATGTCTTCTGAAATATACATTTATAGTATGCAAATATATAATAGAGATACAATAATCTAAAAACTCTCAATTTTGTATTATGTATTAAGCTAACATCAACCACAGAAAGCATGACTTTTTCCAAGTGACATAGGATACGGGAATACTCATATTCTATCTCTACTCTACTGTGTACTATTTGAACCTAAAAAGGTTCAAATGTAAATATCTTTATATTGACGCCTTCTCAATACAAAATTCTTTGACAGAGTTATTAAGGGACTGAGGCTTTACATTTTAAGTTATTTTTGATATATAGACGCTACCATTTCTTCTCAACTAATTTTATGTATGAAAGCATGCCATTGCTCTTTACTATAATATGCACCACCTGCCACTATTCAATAGAAAAATTTTCTCCTCAATCTTAAGGTTGTCAAGGTTTTTACTCCTGGTAAATGTACAAAATCTTGCCCGTCCATGTTTATTGAAAATGTACAATAAACTAAACTTGTTTTATTAAAGAAAAATTATAATATCAAAGAATACATAAATGAAAATAACCCCTGGGAATAAGGTGATTGCCACCATTTAAAGGCCGGCAACGCATCTGCGATTCCCCTGGTGTTGCAGTTGTTCATGGGCGGCGGTAGTCACTTACCATCAGGTGAGCCGCATGCTCGTTTGCCCCCTCTCCTATATAAAAAAAAAATGTTGGTTCTATTAAAATGAGCGGTGAGTGTAGAGAACCGGAGACCCTTGTTACTGGAAAAGAGGCTGGATTCTATCTTAATCCTCACGGGTGACAATGCATCTGCATTTTAATTGTTTATTGAAGGTAGAATGAAATGTTGATTTCTATGGGTCACAGCAACCACTTACCATCAGATGGACTGTGTGCTCGTTTTTCACTCTATCCCACAAAAAAACATGCGTGAGTGACATGGAACACTCGGTTGGAACGAAGTTCTCTTCGTAGTATATTATTATTGATAAACGTATTATATTATTGATTAACAAATACAAATTAATTAATTACTAGATACTATTGAAATTAAGCGTCATTTAAATAATCTCTTTTTCATTGCAAGATGAGAAAACGTGCGAGGGAGATGGATATTATTCCATCTAGCTGGTACTATAGAAAGGGGGTCGTGACGGAAAAATCTTACACTTTCTCTCGCCTAGCTGTGCCGTGCGATAAGGAAATCCGTTTCAATAACAATATTTATTTGCACACCATACAAAGCCCTTAAACAATAACCACAAAACGTTTACTTATTCTACACAGCAGTATTTCAGCTGACGCTTACAATAGGAAAATCTAAGCTGTTTGTCACAATATACTACAATTACACAATAATAACAATTAAGCCGAATTAGCGCGGCTGTAATAAATAAATGATGTGCCCAACAGTGGGACTTACATACGAGTATGCTGATTTTTTTTTTATGGGATAAGGTTGACAAACGAGCACACAGTCCACCTGATGGTAAGTGGTTGCTGCGGCCCATAGACATCTACATCTATCCTCTGTTACAAATCAAAATGTAGATGCGTTGTCACCCGTGAGGACTAAGATGGAATGTCTCATTTCCAGTAAAAAGGGCCTCCGGCCACCTGCACTCACCAAGCGAAACGCAGAGGTAAGCCTCTACTTCACGCTGGTTTTCTGTGAGGTCGTGGTACCACCCCGGTTTGAGCCGGCCCATCCGTGCGACAGCAAAAGCTGCCGCGTGGCTCTACCACTGTTAACTGATATAACAAAGATAAAACAAAGTCGCTTCCCTACATCTGTACGCTTAGATCTTATAAACTAAGCAATGAATTTTGATGTAGCTTTCATCAATAGATAGAATAATTTAAGAAAAAGGTTTATATGTATAACATTAATATTTTATTTTATATGATTCTTCGGTACGTGTGTATGTGACTGTGATTATTGAAATTTTAAAATTTTGTGGGTGTGATTAAGTTGACTAGAGAATGGTTTAGATTCACAATTTGACTGCTTTTGTATTGCTGATTGGATCGCTAATATATCTTTATAAATAAAAATCAAGTGTCTCTGATAAACTGAGCTTCCATTTTATATTTTAACTACGAAAGAGCTCTGGGATTTGACCGCTGTACATTCAACAATAACGAGCAACAAGTGTCCGGGTAAATGTCAGGGGACGCAATTTGCATTCGAATGAAGCTAACGTACTCGTGCCTCGTACGACCCACGAGCGAGTGAAATACTTTTGAAATTACAGTGCCATTAACTTTGATGACTTGTATGTAACGACTGGTTACCCTCTCTCGCCCAAGCACAATAAAATAGTTATATGCATGTTTAAGTACAGATTACGACGTAATCGGGAAGGAAAACATTTGCACTCACAGACGTCCATACTACCCGAGATGTGAACCATACTGAAAATTAATGCTAAATTGTGCATTAATTTTAACTAAAATAAGCACCGATTTTCAGTCATACACATCAAAATTATTAACGAAAAAATACCATTTCTTAGTTCTGTTTCTGAATTATTTATATTAAAAAACAAATGTTATTCTTGTTAAGATTAACCTATTCGCTGTCCCGTGCACTACATATAGCTCATTGCTATTGTGTTACTATTGTGTAGAAAAAATCGGAGAATGAAAGTGTTAAGATATAGCCTACTGAAATAGAGCGTAATAAAACTTGAATATATAACTTTGTGTTAAACTTACCTAGTTCAAAGAACAACCGCCCTCCCTCAGTTGCTTGCACTATTCCCGTCACCACTAATTCCAGCACTACTACTCCTAACACCACTACATAGGAAAGACTCACCACCTCGATACGTCACGTGTTTCGCCTCGAAGCATCCTCAGGTAAAGTAGAGTCGCAAAAAAATCTCAAATTAGCAAACCTTTTCCTTTTTCTCTTACCTTTTCTGGTATAGTAATATGGAAAAGAAGGCGGCAAACATCAAAAGAATTTTATCTTCGAAATGCTCTTAATAGAAGCAGGCGTTACAAATTAATTAGCTAAGATCGGCGTAACAAAATAAAATGATGTATCTTACGTATATAGCGGCCACAAAACGCTTCTATGAATTAAATTTAAAAAAGTGAAGGCTGGCTGCAAAAAAAAAATAAAAATAATAAAATAATTTTCACCTAACAGCTTCTGAAGCTGGAGAAACACTATGTATCAAACATACATCGTCTTCTGTCGTCGCTCGAAGGTCCGAGTGCGGCTTTTACTTTTTATTAGAAGTCTGATCTTATGTTCCACTTGCGAGTAAAACTCAGTTTAATATACTCGTGCGTTACGACTAGATGGTAAGACTCCTTTTTTCTCTCTCATATATTTTATTTTTTCATTTATTTCTGCAGTACAGTAAAATTTAGGTAAATTATATCTTAACAAAATAAAAAGAAAAGAAATCTAAATATTTACATCTACGATTATACCAGAATCTCTAACTTCTAAGTTAGACAGGCCCGTATCATAAAGTCAGCGCTTTTCACAAATTAAAGTTGACAAAAAATTACTAACTGCTATATAGTGGCTAACCGCTAAGAATAAGCTTAGCGGTCAGCCACCGTAGAGTCTATATCACCTGAGGATGCCTCGTGTAGAGGCGAAACACGTGTCGTATTATCGTCAGTGGTGTGTCTTGCCTAGTGTAGTGGTGTTGAGAGTAGTGGTGCTGGGATTAGTGGTGACGGAGATAGTGCACGCAATTGAGGATGCTCTTCAAACTAGGTAAGACACGTCATTTTATTTTATCGCGCGGATGTACGCGAAGTAATTTTTTACCAACTTTAATATAATGGACTTCCGCAAAGTAACGCCTGATTCTATTAATTAGTTTTTCACAAAAGCATTATCAGCTAAGTACGTTTTATACGACTGGGGAAGGACCACGCTCTCACACAATACC